TTCTGGTTCATCCATTCATTGTTATTATTATTATTGAGAGAAGAATAAGATTGGCGAAGAGAAGGAGGAAGGAGGAAGGTGGAGAGAGAAGGGGGAATTGTCATTGGTCTTGCTGGTGTACTTCTTCTTCTTCTTCTTCTTCTTCTTCTTCTTCTTTACCTTTCCTCTGGTCTTTATCTCTTTGCAAGTGCTTTCATTTCTTTTGCAATTGGGTGGCATTGTCTTTCATTGTGAATTTGCACTTGGGAAATGACCAGGATCGTAACACTTGTATGCATGCTTGTCTTCGTGTTTGGTGACTGAGAGCAGATCAATAGCTTAGGAAACCTTGAGGTTGTGACAACAGCGACACTGGAAGATGGTACAAAAGTGCATGTGCCGGAGGTTGACCGCATCACGTACGAAGAAGAGTATCCTGAACAAACCACAGATGATTTTGAATGACGCTTGCTTGCCTGTGGTTGTGTAATCCTATCGTCACCCATGACTGTCCTTTTGTCTTCTTCTTGATGTGTGCACGTGTGTTTATGGTGGCGATTCTTGAATGTCCTTGGGAGACCGACTCAGCTGTCTCTTTTTTAGCGCTGCGGATATTGTTTTTGTTGCAGCGTAAATGCGAGTAGGTTGAAAGCAGGGAGTGCACTGCCTAACATAGCCATCTTCTTGTGGTTTGTATTGAAACAATGAGCATTTACCGTTGATTACCCAAATCGCCAATCTTGCCAAAATAACTGCCGCAGAAACTCGCAATCACTTCCTTCGTTTGTGCCTCTGCCAATCGGAAAGTACCATAGAAAGCGATGGTCATGCGGCTACGTGCAATCAGATAGGTAATTGCGAGAGATTGGTGTGAGGGTATGAGCTTTGCAGACAGAGAAAACTCCTTTGCGACTCTTGTCTATCGGAAGTGCAACTGGTTTAGTCAGTTACTTTTGTCTCTTCTGTGTTCTTTGATGCATTGGGGTGAACCACCAAGGTTCCGACTGCCAACTCTTTGGGATGTAGTGCTGCATATAAGTACTGGTGTCTAGTCATGAGCTTTCTGTTTTTGTTCTTTTCTCACTTAAAGCACTAGTACCTTTGCCGCTTCAGAAATGAGGGAAAATGCCAGCTCCCGAAGAATTCGGACTGTGCCCGACGACGGCTGCCATTGATAAATCTAATCAGCGGTCGTCGTTTCGTTTCGGCCTCCTGAAAGGTCGGAGGCCCGCTATTTTCCGAACTGACAAAGGTACCAGTGGTTAAAAAAAAAAAAAACCTTCAAATGAGAGCAATTTGTACCCTTCTGGTTAGGACTCGTTTCTATTCTGGGAGATGTCGGTGTGGTTTCCTTTTCACCAGCGAGCAAAAAGGAATATATGAAGCCTCGTTTTCTTTGGCAGAAAGAGCCGAAGCCTTTGCTGCCACTTCAAGGACATAGATAGCCACTCCGTTTTTTTTTCGACTGAATACGGTCGTTATGGAGGTTGGATACGTCCTAGTGTTGAGTGTGGCCTAAGCTACACTGTAGTGAGCACCAAGGAGTCAAGGACTTATTCTACAAGGTATTATAGGTCCCGGCGCCAGTGATGGCTCCCCCAGAGCAAATCATCAACTATTAGTTAACGCTGTTATAAACCATGGTTGTCAACCGGACGTCCGGATCGGGATCCAGACGGTCCGGTCTGGATGTCCGGATCCTGTGTCCGGTTTGGGTCCGGTTGGGCCCCATTTCGAGAAAATTCGAAAAAAAAATTTGGGGTCCCCAGGCGATTTTCCAGTGCCTGGTGGACCCCCGAAAATTGTTGCCGCAATTTTTGGTGTACCGTTGGGCCAACCGGACCGGCCCTGAAGGGCCTGTACTTGCAATCTTGGGTGAGCTTCAGCGGGGCAAGGAGAATCGGTCGTGTGTGTGTGTGTTGTCATATTCGCTATACACTCAAAAAAAGCACGACTGTGCCAGACTGTTCCGTCGGATTTCACCGACTCATCAGGAGGTTGAACCCCCACAGTCTGCCCGGGATTCATTCGACTTATGGATAAGGACTCACAACATCGCCCAGAGTTTGCGACACCCCTGAGAAAAGTGGTCTGTGTGTGTGTGTGTGCACGACAGTGTGTGTATGTGAGTGTGTTCAAAATAAGTCGGATAATACAACTACAACAGCGTGTCTTTTTTTTTTTTTTTTTTTTNTTTTTTTTTTTTTTTTAATCCGGACATCCGGACCTGCTCATTCATAACCGGACCGTCCGGTTCCGTATGTCCGGTTGTCCGGATTTGTGTCCGGATTACCGGACGTCCGGATTAATCCAGACACGGGTCGGGGCCCGGTGTCCGGTGTCTGGATGTCCGGGTCCGGGGCAACCATGTTATAAACAAAATGTGAACAAATCTTTGACAGCTTTACCTTTCCTCCTTTCTATCCGAGATGTAGTACTTGCACAGATATAGGGATGAAGGGATTGCTATTTGAATTTTGGATACTTCTGGGAACTATTCCAAGTCTTAACTCCTTTCTAACCCGATTTAGATTCTCTTCGGTCTTCTAATCAGCGCAGCCGTTCTACACCAATCTGTAATAACCAGCCCTTTGCCCCATACAAATGATTTATTAACCTCCTGCTGGCAAACAGCAGAAATTCGTCTGGATATCTTGTTGCTCGTCTTTTTTTTTTTTTTTCAAGACAAACTCCCTCCAGTGCTAGCGGTGTCTGCTAGCGGTGCTGGTAGAAGCAGACACCGCTAGCACCCGGGGAGAGGCTCCATCTATTGGTGGGGAGCATCACCTGCTGGAAAACGGGTCCAGAGTCCCTTCTAGCTTCTTCTTCTTTCCATAATAGGAAGGTTTTTGTTCTGGAGAACGGAAAAAAAAAAATTCACCCTTAACCAGTCACCTGTTTTTTCTTCGCATGTTGGAGAAGGCCTCGGTTAATGCTCCTTCGGTTTTGGAGCTTGTTTGAAGCAATGCTGCACTCGACATATGTTGCGACAAAGCTGAAGACATGGAGTGAACCGGGACGGAAGAGGATGAAGCTACTTCTTGTGGGCATGGGTGTGCCACTTGTCGAATCCTATCAGCTCTACTTGCACATGAATCGGAAAATCAAGAGGTATTTGTTCGACCACCAGTCTGCTAGATCCTTCTGCAGACCTCTGAAGAGTCTGAACACACACATCTTATAATGTGCAGGAAGGCCGGTTCATCCACTAAAGGATGGCACAACCTTGCTTGCAGACGACTGGTGCTTTAAGTAAACACAAGAGCATTGGAGTGAGAAATAGCAGTCTGAATGACTGTGAAATGATCAAATGGTATATTTATTTAAAGTTGGAACAATAAAGAGAAGATTAACATGACCCCTGCGCGAGGATGACATGCATAAAAATTGAGAAATGGGCCAGACAAACGTTCCGAACCTTCCTTACATACCTCTCTGTTCTCTCTTCTTTCACTATTTTCCTTTTTCTTTCTTCTGTGCCCTCTGTCTCCTCCTCTCTCTGCCCTCTCTCTCTTCTCATTCCTCTCGTTCCTCTCGTTCCTCTCTCCTTTTCTCCTTTCTCTTCCGGTGTTTGTCTCTCTCTTCTTCTGTTTGTGAATGCTCTTTTGTAAGCTTGCACTTTTGCGAAGTTTGCGTGTCATTGTGGACGTCTCTTGCTGATGGGCAGCTGAGGCAAAATGTACCTCTTCCCCCTTGGCACCCTGCCCTTCGACTTAAATAAATCAAGGCATGGACGGGTGTTTTGGTGTGCTCATGTATAGGCAATTTGGATGTGTTTTGCATGAGCTTAGGACGTCAAATGATCTTATCGCTTTGTTCTGTTCTTTTGTGATTTTCACCATTTGGATGCGTATTGTTTCCGCACAATAAAAAGAAAAAGGGTTTCAAAGGTTACCTCATCGCTTTGTTTTTCTCTGTTCTTCGTGATTTGTTTTGGCTGCTCTGATGCGCACCTGTTTCCAGACGATTAAAAGAAGAGTTTGAAAGGCGGTCTCCTGAGTACGGCCTTACGGAGTTGTTTTATAGAAGCTTCCAGAAATTCTGCGGTTTTAAGTAAGCATTTCAGAGCTTGTTCCCCACCCCCACCCCCACCCCTTTTATCCTGTTCTATTTTCTTTTTTTCATTTTCTTTTCTTAAAAGGGCGATAGCCTTGAGATATCATCGTGAAACTGAACGGCTCTAGGTAGTTCAGGAATTTTGTTCATCTGGTTCCGTCTGGATTCGAACTCATGTCAGTATTTTAACAGTTTAGGGGTATACCAACTGAGGTAAGCCCGTTGGTATACTTTTCTATTTTTCAGTTTAAACTTCAGAGTTTTTTGAGAGAGCTATTCTGCAGATTTTGCCCTTGTCTACTTTAACCTGGGAGCCCTCGGTGTGTATATGTGTGCTGCCGCTAGGCCTTAGTAGCCTAAGGACAAACTTATTCAGGCATCTGAAAACTGATGAGTTTGGCAAGTACCCATCTACTACATCTACTACATCTACTATGCTAGTCATATGCCAATCTCCATTCTGTTTGTGTTTTTGCATGAAAGTGATCATAGTGGACCCAACACACCGAACTGGATCATGTTGGAACCACTGACCCAGTTCAGTGAAAAGGCTGTTGCAGCCAGAGCTTGAAGCCACCCCTTTTTTTTTTGTTTGTTTTTGATCGCGCACCATGCACTCCTCTGCATCGGAGTCGCAGGTTGCTTCACCCCACTTAAAACGACCAGTACCTCGCCCAGGCAAACTGGAGAATTGAAATTGCATCAATCCGGGTTCTTCGCACAAACAGTGCTGCAGAGACGAAAAGAAGTGCGCTGCTGGCGGTTCATTTGTTTGTTTTCTTTTTTTGCATGCGCATTGCGCAGTGCAAATCCGCCTCAAGAAGAAGAGGCTTGGAGGTACTGGTGGTTTAAGCTTGCTGCTCCCAGAAAGCCTGACCCTGCGCCGTTTCGGCAAGTTACCTCTCCGCCGGAAACAGGTTTGACAAAGTAGTGTGGAGAGGAGAGAGAGGGGTGTCCGCACACCTCCATTGGTTAGTGAGCAGCTGGAGGAAGCAAATGCGTTATACAGTGCCCGTACTTCTCCTAACATTAGACGCTGTGACATTCCCCCCATGGCCCTATGTAAGCCCCCCCCCAATGGAACTGTGACAGTCCCATGTCAATAGCTTAATGGAACAACTATGCTTTAGTAATTTGTACTTCTGCAGCAAGTTCTACTAGCATTGGGAAATGTGACAGTCTCAAATGGCCGTGACTATCATGGATTTGGTTGATGAACTATTGCAAATGGCGATCCAGAGCAGGATCCAAAACTGTGCCAAGGAAACTGCTGTTCGTGTGGCGATTCCTCTCCCAAATCCACTCCAGATGTGTGGAACTGCATTGCGCTATGAAGAAAATTACTGTTTTTAGGGAAACGCGATATGTTTCCCCCGTGGTGTCTCTTGTGCTGCATTGTGCCGATCCCATCCCTGTTTCCACATTAAGGCTCCATGCCACCGCCTTTTTTATCGTCCTTTCTCTTGTGCACTTCCTTGTTCTGGATCTGCTGGTGATTATATATTTTCACGGCTCTCCGGTTTCATTGCTCTCATATCACCCTCACCTCTGACCGTCATATGTGCTTGACATCTGCTCTTCGGGTCCTCCTTCAGAATCATCCTTCAATCCCTCGCTGGCCTTCATTACAGGTTGCAATGTTGCATGCACTGTTTGTGACTCTCACTCGCACTCTCACTTTCACTCTCACTCTCATTCTCACTTTCACTCTCACTCTCACTCTCACTCTCACTCTCACTCTCACTCTCACTCTCACTCTCATTCTCACTCTCACTCTCACTCTCACTCTCACTCTCACTCTCACTTTCGTTTTCATTTTCCCTCTCCCTCTCCCTCTCCCTCTTCTTCTCCCTCTCCCTCTCCCTCTCCCTCTCAATCTCCCTCTCAATCTCACTCTCAATCTCACTCTCACTCTCACTCTCACTCTCACTCTCACTCTCAATCTCACTCTCACTCTCACTTCCACTCCCACTCCCATTCCCACTTGCAATCTCTCCCTCTCCCTCCCCTGCTCCCTCTCCTGCTCCCTCTCTTCCTCCCTCTCCCCTTGCCTCTCTTGGTCTTGCCTTCCCATCCCACATCCTCCTGCACACCCCTAGCCATTCCCCCCAACCCTGGTCTTTCAGCCTCCCCACAGTATGAGCGCATGTGCCCTCAATGCCACAATCAAAGATTCGTCTAAATGTCTGTGTGCGCTCCCAACTCCTCGCACTCTGTGCCACTGCCTCCCGGAGCTCACGTACACGTAAGGACAACCTGATGATTATGAACTGTACAGGACTTATATGTTGAACACTTATGTAGCACTAATAGAAAAGAAAGATGTGTCTGTCTGGCTGTCTGTCTGTGTGTCCAAAACAGGTCACGGATGTGGACCAGTGCAAACGAGGCCTCTCTCTGCCAAATGAGATAGAGAACTGGGGACCCTCTTGTAGGCCGCGTTCTGGTCCTAACAGAAAAAGTCTGTTCACAACACATTGCAGCAGCTGGGAACTGGACAGGATTTGACAGACTGGCTTGGGGCACAGAGGACGGTTTAGGGGATGCTGGAAAGTACACATGCCCATGGAATGCAGCATGACTTCCTCTGATGCACGGGGTTGTCTCCACTAGTGATGTGTAAGTTTGTCCATCATCTCATTGACGTGCTTAGCATTGTCATTGCCAGCGCTATCAAAAATCTTTCTGTCACATTACCACGGTTGTGCTTGCAGCTGTCATCATCATCATCACAGTTACATCAATTCATTGCAGGTTCTCCTATGTTATTTGTTGCTGGGCACTCTCTCTCTCTCTCTCTCTCTCTCTCTCTCTCTCTCTCTCTCTCTCTCTCTCTCTCTCTCTCTCT